TAGCATTAGATATCGGGTAAAGGGCATTTCAAAATGGCAAACTATTTCTTTAAAGAAGAATACTGGGATGAATAAAAGTTTCCTAATCGCGATGCGAGCTCAATTCTAAGGCCCTCTACTTTAATGCAGTTGTTAGCATTTTGTGAGATGCTGAGCATACCTGAGCATATTTAATACCTTTAGTCTGTGTACTGCACAAGGTGGAGAGTTTCCTCACGCTACTCTCTGAAAAGCAGCTGTTCTCTTTTTGCTTCTTCAGGAGAACTTTAAGCTGCGGGATCAGAACGAAGACCTGAACGCTCAGATCCTCAGTCTGAGTTTGTACGAGGCCAGGAACCTGTTCTCTTGTCCGTCCAAGGCCCAGTGCCTGGCCGCCGAGATCGACAACGCGTCCAGAGACGAGGTGAGAGCTGCTGGAGGACGGCCTTCATTATGATCTGTAAACTCCTTCATTAACAGGCTTCACATTCTTACAGTTCATGACATCAACGATTTCCACATTTGTGTTTTTATTTACTAAATATTTTCAGGTACATAGAGGTGGGAGAAGTACTCAGATCTTGTACACTTAGTACCAGAGTGTAGGAATACTCTGTAACAGTTAAAGTCCTGCATTCAAAAGGTATTCAAGTAAAAGTACAAAGTAGCAAAAAAATGAAATACTCAAGTAAAGTACAAGTCCCTCAAAATTGTACTTAAGTACAGTGCTTGAGTAAATGTTCTTAGTTACTTTACACCACTGCAGGTAAAGGGATCATTCCTATGCACTTCAAAACATATTTAAAAAAGGATTTCATTTTGATGGAACTCATCAAATCCTCACATGAATTAGGAAGTGTGTTCCTCTGACTTCAGCTGTGATGGTGCCTCCACAGATATGAGAGCTCCATGTTGCGTCCGTTTCAGAGGAAGAAACTGGAATGGCCTTCCGCTCACTAACAATCACTGTACCTCTTGCTGCATTGCTTTACAAAACACCTGTATGATGCCGGCTTTCCATATTCACATCAGTGTTATTTCATCACCATTTTAAGTTTATTATTTGTTGTTCTCAATGTTTGCAATTTCTTATTGAATTCAAGCAATTGTTTGTATATTGATCTCTTGTCTTTTATATAAAAGTGTGATTTTCCTACATTATTTCGATAGAGGCTGTAAATAAGCCCAATGGGTTTTTTGCCTCTTCCTGCACTGACAGAACTGAAACGTTGACTTTAATGAAATGTATTATGTCGGGCGATTTCACATAACTGTATTAGGTTAGTTGCAAGCAATAATATTAAGTTAAAATATTCTTGCTTTCAATGAACCTAATGCAGTTATGTGAAATGTGTTGACATAATACATTTCATTAAGTCAACGTTTCAGTTTGTCAGTGTTTGTCATGTGTTACCTGTTCTGTTTGTGTATTATTCATTTGTGCCAAAGCATGAATCTATGAGTCCCTGATGCGTCTCTGTGTCCCTCAGCTGGTGGACGCGCTGAAGGAGCAGGAGGAGATCAACCTGCGTCTGAGGCAGTACATGGACAAAATCATTCTGGCCATCCTCGACCACAACCCCTCCATCCTGGAGATCAAGGGTTAAAGGACACACTTACAAAAGCACTCTGTTACTGTACTCACCTTAAAGTTATAATCCTCATGATGTAAGCCCCTGCTAGTGCACGGGCAAGCAGCATACTCTCTGACGGAACTAAACAAACATCCATCCTGCTTGTAAGGGACTGACAACCATATCGTGTTTTCTTCTAGACGCATTTGTGATGAGTAATGGGGTATAGTGATAACCTCCATTAGTCACACTGGTTTACACACTGAATTGTTTCCTGTCAATAGTTCGAATTTCGAATAAGGAAGCGGCTGCCACTTACAATAAACTGCTATAGACATAATTACCAATGATCAGATACAGGATCTTATTTCATGAAAACCATCAGGATTATAACTTTACATTTTGAATGTGCTAAATGTTCTCACCTATTATAACTGAAACTGTAGTCACACACTCAAACAAACACCTTTATTTCAACTAGAACCAAACGCTTATCTATGAGGCAATCACTGTAGAACTGCTGTGTCATGTTGAATCTGTCCAATGTGTTATAGATATATATATTCGATAACTACATGAAATGTGAGCACTGGGAAATATTTGGGAGGGCACAAAAACATATGTTGGTGTTTTTCTTGTACACACTGTAGTAATTGTTATTGATTCTAACTGTAGGCTAGATTTAAGTGAAGGACATGAAGCGATTAAGGTTTAAAGGACCATAGCAGTGTTTGGCATGTTTCTACAAACTAAAGCAGGCCGTAATGTAAGGTGCTTTTACAGACTTGCCTGCAACCAATCAGGTCATATGAACATCTATTTGACTCAGAGTAAGACTCCAAATGAGCTCCAGTTCATTTGTAATGTGAACAATGTGGTTGTTTGTATTGATTGGCGATGCTAAGCATAAGCAAGCTAACATTCTTAAAGCTATTTGACTTTCAAACGGCATGGGAATCAGGACATGGTTAGCCTAGCTTAGCTTAGCTCAGCATTAAGACTGAAAGCAGGGGGAACAGTTGGCATCTAAAGAACACTGACAAGTTGTATGCACTTATTTCAATCGGTACACAAACACACATGTGAAACCACAAGTTGTGGAAGTATTTCTTGATGAATAGATATTTTACAAAACATGAATTTCTTTCAAAAATGTGAAATAAAAAATCTGTAAAGTATTATTGAATATGTAGTAAATGACTACAACATGCATAAACACTGACATAGTTCTTTTTGATGAAACAGCTTCTAACCCTTTAATGTGGCTGTCCCGACACATCTGGATGTCCAAATCAGTTCTGTAAGCGGTATTTCAAGGTGCTAAGAGAGTGTGCCAAATCATTTCAATGTTTTATAGGCATCAAGTTACATTTCCAATGTGTTACTACCAAATGGAGCTTAAGAGCTGGAAACATTGTGATGACACTAAACGGGCCACCTTCTACTGTTCCCCAGCCTCTTGCAAAGGGTCATTACTAATGTATTATTTATGAATAGTCTAATATTACTGTAAACGTTGCAGTGTTCTCTAGAAAAAAAGCAATTGAACTAAAGCTATCTAATCATCTCAAACAAAACTGCCTTGATGTATGCCTCCAGTGTGTTTAGGGGAAACACTTGATGCTATGTTGTGAATTAGTGCCATTTAACATCATTTCACCTTGATATGAAACTTGTTTCACAATTACATGTAGAGGCACAGTGTGATCTGAGTATAAATGCTATTCCCAGGGTGTTTCACAGTGAGAGCAGCATATATATATAACGTTTTTTCATTGTTTATTTGCTGTTTTTTTCACAGGTTTTGAGCATTTGCATATACACATATTTAATTTAAGCAGTCCATTTATGATTTTGTCCATTGTTGCCTTTGTGAGTAATGTTTTTGTATATGTACATGTTTTCTTTAAGGCACAGTATTTGTGATTGTGATTTCATACATTGTAAATGCTGTACAGAATCTAGTTCATATTCATGTTGCTTATCAAAAGTCTCTTGGAGAGTTTGGACACAATAACAAAATATGTGTTGTAGGTTGCACTATGAAGTCAATAATGCTTAGCACACTTAAAAGTGTCATAGCCAAAGTATTGGAATACTATAAAAGATGATGAAAAATATTATAGTCTGTCACATCTCATATTTGTTCAATTTCATTTATTTGTGCGATACTTGTGTATCGCACAAATAAATGTGTAAATAAAGTAAAGTGCTTTGGCATGACGCAGTGGGCCCTTTTGTTTGTTTCCTCTACTGTAGAAGTCAGGTGCCAAAATAAACGTGCATGACTTCCGTTCCGTCTTCCTGTGAATCGAAAACAGTTGTAGCAACAAAAGGTTTATTGTAGAATTGTACAGGGAACTACAGAGCGACTGCGAGGCAAACACAGCAGCTATGGTTAAAGGCCTTTGTCATAGCAGACATTTTACTTGTCATATACAAGCACAGGTGTTTAAAATGTCTCAGTTTAACTGTACATTTACACAATAAAGTCCTGTAGTGATGACGTATTTGTGTGGGCCAAACTAAAAGTTAGCATCGCAACCGCTCCCTCAACAAAACAATAGATTATTCTCTATTCAATTTGGAATATTGCAGAAAATAGGATCTGTGGCCAACACATGTTTATGATACTTACATGTTTTGTTCAGCAGGATAATCTCAACATATTAACCCTACTTTAATAATCGTGAAATACAATTGAAAGAAGTATGGATAACATTATGGATGACGATCACATGACCGTTAGCCACTAAGCTCAATGTGGTTCATATGTTAGACTCCTTCTTGCACCACAATATTGAAATTAAGATAGTTACCGAAAAAGATTGACATGCAGTGAAGCGGGCCCTTTGGGGCCACAGTGGCCCTGGAGCAGTACAGTAATTGGGCTCTAATCTCAAGCAAGTGGAGCCAAAGTAACCAGACCAGCAGTTCGTCGCTACACACTGAAGCATACTTACTTAAAGAACAGGTTAACATGCTTTATTGTTTAAAAAAACAAACAAACATGTTTTCTCTCTAAACATAACTGTATCCCCCCTCTGTCTAAAAGGCTAACTTTTAACGCTGACTCTTTCCAGTGCTCTGATTGGCCTGGGACAAAAATAAGGCAAACCTTTGCAAAGATAGTGCCTGCATGTCACATAGGAAGGGGAACCACATCTGTATGGCTAAATACCGTGTTCTGTGATCACAAATAGCTTGATAGTTTTTTTGGCCTTGTGGAAAGCATTCTCAATAATGGCTTTAATTTAGAAAAAAAACGGTACAAAAGGACATGACATTGTGAATGACACATTTAACCTTCAATAAATAAACATGATTAACCTTATAAAAATAAACGATATCACTCATACAATATCGCATGAGTAAACCGTGCGTGCACACTCCAGGCCAGCAGATGACAGTAATGCTCCGTGTGCTGCGATATGACCGCCGCCAAAACGCTCATCTCACTGAAGAAATATTTTTCTTTTCGGAAGAAGATCCCGACAAAGCGGCCCTATTTCTTTTCAGTCACAAAAAGTCAAATAATCCGAAAACCGACGATGTACGCCAGGACAAATACCGGCAGCACACACGGAGACTTTCAGGATCGAAACGGAGTGAATTATGTGACATCGACAGAGACTTTCGGCCACTGCTCCCAATTGTTCTGGAAAAAGGATCCCAACGACTCCGGAGTAAGAAAGCAGCTGCCTATCGCCAGCTAGCGAGCCGTAGCTTTGTTAAACTATTATTATTATACCTAACTAGCACAAAGCAAATGCTCTTTCTACACGGAAGTGTTAAATTAGTGCATGAAGTCCAGTTTAGCAACAGTGTGTGATGTGAAGCTGCAGGTTCTGTTCGCTCCGTTAGCTGTTGGCTAACGGACCAACCGTCATGCTGAGCGTCTCACGGCCTAGTTTGATTCTTAGCCCCCGAGCTAGGTGGCTAATAATAATATGCGCCTACATACATACATCTGCCACAAGTTCTTTGGTGAAATTAAACATATATGCCCAGCCCTATGTCACATATATGTTGTGAGAAGGGCGCCCAGGGCTGCAGAAAATGCATGTTATTGTAGCGGAGCATCACCGAGCTAATGCTAACACCAGGCAACACAGTCCGGCTAGCGAACACCTTCGCCTGCAGTTAAACCAGCGTGTTACTGTTAGGTAGCGCTTCGCATTAGACGATACTTGATACGGTCTGCTCTAACATAGTGAACCGTAGAAGGTGTATGTGAGCAGCGAATGCAGGTTTGTTTGCATGAGGTCTGCAATATTGTTATCGAGGAGCGCAAAGTAAACAGTAGCAGACTGCCCCGCAGGAAACGGGAGCGGAAGACGCCCCGCGGAGGACTCTGAAAGCGCTCTTTGTGATGCACTGTGCGGTGCATTCATGGTCGCTCTGTGCCCACACACTATGTGCACAGTGCACACATGGACTGATATGAGTTAGATTTATATGTTACAGGCTTATTTTATGTCTGTTTGGATTTATTCTGTCACACTAAAGCAGCTTCATAACACCGTGTTAACTGGAATCTTCATTAAATCCTAGCATGAGTTTGGGTTTCCTCAAACAGAAGTTTATATTTCAGGAGTTTGCAGTACTTTCCAGGTGTCACTCACTTGATGTTTCCCCGCTGTCTTCAGGCTATGTGCATTTAAACACGGTTGATTAAACACAATTTGTGCTTATTCTGGTCATTAAATCACATTAGATTCAACTTTTCTTCTTCATCTTAACTGCATTGCCATTGTGCAAAGTACAGGTACAAGCCAAGGAAATGCAGTTAGTATCCAACCAGAAATGCAAGATGTGCTAAATATAAATAAATACAAGGTGCATATTATAAAAACTGACAATACAGGGAGCATTGAATGAGCAACACATCTACAATGTACAGATGTAAGTATTGACAGAGTGCAAGTGCAGATTGATATGCAGGGTGATATTTCATACCTGCTTTTTTCCTAACATTTATTTTATTCCTTAGAGGAAATTAAGAAGAGTACAAACAAATTGATAACAAAGTATGTTATAGCAATTTGCAGGTCTCCCTTGAAAAAGAGATCTACACTGAACAAAAATATAAATGCAACACTTTTGTTTTTGCTCCCATTTTTCATGAGATGAACTCAAAGATCTAAAACATTTTCTATATACACAAAATAACCATTTCTCTCAAATATTGTTCACAAATCTGAAAAAGATCTGTGATAGTGAGCACTTCTCCTTTGCCGAGATAATCCATCCCACCTCACAGTTGTGGCATATCAAGATGCTGATTAGACAGCATGATTATTGCACAGGTGTGCCTTAGGCTGGCCACAATAAAAGGCCACTCTGAAACGTGCAGTTTTGCTTTATTGGGGGGGTCTGGGGGGGTCCGAAAACCAGTCAGTATCTGCATTTATATTTTTGCTCAGTGTATGATCTCAATGGGACCAATCTGGTTAAATAAAGGTTTGAAATGAGATTGTATGTACAAACGGTAATTTATTTATTTTTTAAAAAACATGTCTCCCCTGGAGCATTCCCCCTATGTTCCTTATAAAAACCATCCAATATCATCGATATTTACAATACAGTTATAATTAGTTTAGCTATTTCAGATCTCTGAACCTAAGAGAAAATGCAGAAAGTGTAAGCAACCTAGAAATGATAACCTTTGTTAAGATAGATACGTGTTAGAGCTGTTATATTGGATGCATTAGATCACATTGGTTTCAATTTTTGGCGGTCAGTCATGGAGATGATTTCTTAGGTTGTTGTTCATTTTCTATAGTTACACTGAGCGATCAGTCTCCATACTAAACAAACATAATGGCACTGTACCATTACAAAACCTTTGTTAGAGAAAGACTATCTGCTGACATCAGAGCGGTGTTAACACACTTGATGACAGGGCCAATTATTTGTCATGTACTGCAAGTAGCAAATGATACAGATTGTAGCCAATGTGTTGCATTAGCCTGGCTAGCCAACGTTTGTGGATGAAATGAAAACAATATAGCTTTATATTTGACATTTAACAGCTTAAAGTTGCTGTCAGATTGGACCTCTCTAATGAGCGACTGTCCGTGGGCTGAGCTGTGTTTTTTAACTTTACACCTCTCACATTTATTATAAGACTCACCTGTGTAAAGGCATATTTCATGTTTTAGATGAAAGGTTGAGGGATGAATGCACTCGCATCATCTCCCCAGATGAACCTAGTGTTTCTTCAATTTAAGCAGCAACCTATTCCACACACCAAGAAATAATTATTTTTTGCAATATATCATTTCATATCAACATTCCGAGCGACCAGGAGGATGATGAAGAATCAATGTAACGACTTGTTGATATGTTTGCTGTGTCTTCACTGTCCTCTCCTCTTGCAGCCGAGCTCCACCATCAGCTGGTGTGATCAGCTGCCCTCATCCTCAGCAGTCCTGTCCAGCTCCAGCCTGTCCTCAGCGTCTCTCTCCAGCTCCAGCCTGTCTCTAGTGTCCCGGGCTCCGGCCCCCCCGGCAGCCACGTCAGCGTCAGACGACATGGAGTCAGACGAGAGGCCGTACGTGTGCGACATGTGCACCTGCGCCTACAAGCACGCCAGCTCCCTGCTCAACCACAAGCTCACCCACAAGATCGGAGACTTCAGGTAGGGTCTCACTCACAGAGGATTACTAGGGCTGCACCAATGTCACATTTTCCATCCAATACCGATGTTTAGAATAACAGTTTGGATGATGTTATTTATTCTCCTTTTGTGCCAGGTAACAAATACATCTTTATTATAACTCTTTCTCCTTTCATCACACTAACTTTGAATACAACTACCTACTCGACGAGAAGTACCATCCGTCAGTGGTTGTGTTTGTGTACTTTGAAGTTGCTGGACTCGTCCTCATTCGGGGTTCTAATGCTTCAAAGAACAGACAACCTTTAGATTTTGTCCAGCGTCATTATTAAAAAGGATTATTTCTATATTACAAAGTCCTGGGAAACAGATAAACATCGGCCGCTGCCATTAATGGGGCTGCACGGTTTGAAAAATGTTTTACATTGTAATATGATTCATGATGGAGGGGTCATATCTGAAATGTTATCAATTGAACAAATATACTAATATGATCATGGTGTGATTTTTCTTTCTTTTCTTTTTTTTTTAAGAGGATCCGTACCAAACGAGGATCTTTTTTTATTAAGTGTGTAGCTAGGGCTGCTCGGTTATGGCAAAAATCATAATCTCGATTATTTGGGTCAATAATTGTAATTGCGATTATTAAATGCGATTATTCATTGACTTTGAAAACATCCATTTATTGTACTTTAAAACAAATACAAATAATAATTTGAACTTTTTAACAGTTGAATTATACGTTCAGGGTAATCAACTGAAAAACCAATACAATATAAAATAAAGTATACATTCATGTCTACATTTAAATAAATAATATCAAAATAATAAATACCAATAAACAAGATCAACAAATATGTTGCAGTGCACTGTCACAACCTGAAAACTCCTTAACATATAGCCAACATGTTGGTAAAACATATTCAACATATTCCACTCAGTTAAACGTTGAAGGCTGGCCAACCGTCATGGTCCAGAAGTAACAGGAAATAAATGTTGAACTACAATTTAAGACCGAATAAAAATGTTTAGGCCACCATGGCAAATGCTGGTAGGGCTGCTCATGTCATCTCTTAAAGATGTTTTGCTAGAAACACCAGGCTGTTTACATGGTCTGGTTTCAGAGATGAGCGCAGGCAGGTGACGATATTGCCACCTGTACTGAAGACTAGGGCTGCTCGATTATGGCATTATTTGGGTCAATAATTTATATCACGATTATTAAAAACGATATCCATTTACTTTGAAAACATCAATTTATTGATGTTTTTAACAGTTGATTACCCTGAACTTTAAGTATAATTCAACTGAAAAACCAAAAAAAAAAGTAATAATAAATAAATGATAATTTTATTTCGTAATCGTTGCAAGCCATAATCGTAATCGCGATTAAAATACGATGAATTGAGCAGCCCTATGTGTAGCACATGGTTTGTTACTCTGCATCTCTACAATAATTAATTCAGATATTTTCACATATTTAGCCTTACCATATATTGCGCCTACCGTGATTGGGATATTGCACTAGTCAATATTGAAAAAAAAGAAGACAAAAAAATGTTTTAACAACATGTTTATTTATTGACTTTTCATTCCGGTATAATCATTTTGCGCAAAGATGGCACTGTTTGTCAGAGCACTTCATCCTTCTGGGATTTCATGAAGAACAGCTCCAACGCCTGTGTGTATGGGAACGCCTCTGGTGCTGGTCCATTAACTGCCAGTGTTTCCCACAGATCTGAAATATACTTGGTGGTGGTAGCGGGGGGGGGGGGGGTGTTGAGGTGACGTGACGTGCAACAACATTAACCTTAACCTTTCTGTTGGTCGCTTGTTAGCAGACCCTTCACGCGATGGCAGAGCGAACAGGTACAGGCAGGGCCCATAATGATAGCCCTATAGTTTAAATCTACTACCCACACATGAACATATGGAAATGGGTTACTATTTAAAAAAATAAATGTATTTAGGAACCTATCCATGTGATTTTTAGTGGGGGTCGACCTCAAATCCTCTATGGGGGCTCCAGGGGCATGCCCCCCCGGTAAGATTTTTTATTTTGGAGTTAAATGCATCAATCTGGTGCATTTTGAGGGGGAAATAAAGAGACTAGATCTATGGAAACACCTATATTTAACAGAACTGTATACATTTCAATAATCATAAAATCATGGCCATAACCAACAACATACCATTTCCAATATGAAAAAAACACTGAAACTTGTTTATTAATTTATTTTTGGTTCATTTATAGTTGTGAGTGTGTCTGTGCTCCTGAATCAGCCTCTCCTGTCTCCCCCATCTCCCCCCCAGCACCTCTTTGAGGCAGCAGCAAAGACTAGTTGTAGCTCTCAACAAGTTTTAAAAGTGTATCTTACCTTTTTTCACCTAGTTAACTTTTTATTTATTTATTCATGCATATTTTACTAATCACATTACATTTCATTTAGCTGACGCTTTTATCCAAAGCGACTTATAATGACCGATTACAGGGACATTCTCCCTGGAGTAACTAAGGGCTAAGTGCCTTACTCAAGGGCACACTAGTGGTGGTGTTCCTGGCGGGATTTGAACTCACAGCCTTCCGATCTTCAGCCCACCTCACTATCCATTAGACCAATCTCTACCCTCTCAAATGGAAATATGTGTTTACATAAATGGTGACCACACCGTTTGAGACCCACTGAGAACTTAGACTAAGTTAACTATCTAAACACTCAGAGTCCTTTACCTCACCTGAGCTGAGGTTATCCCGAGCTTGAATGACACACAGAGACCAATCAAGGGCTTTGATTTATGATCTGTATGACAGTGGCCATGTCAGCAGGACACATCATGTGGACAGCCAGTCACCCTGTGTGAGGCAGGCCACTTAACAGGCCAGAAGGAGGCGAGATCAGAGCAAGGGAGGGAGGGATAATTGTCCACAAGTTAATCGATCGCAGATGGCGTCGTGGTCACGGACGAATAAAAAAAAAATTATTAAAAAAAACGAAATGGGTCGCGAAATATACTTGGGCGGCCGTTAATATACCTGGCGGCCCGCCCAAGTATAGTCTATGTGTGGGAAACCCTAATGATTACTATGTCGAAGGCATCAGGTAAAGCCTAAACCAACTTCCTCTCTAACCTCCACGTGTTTTTGTCTCCAAAACATAGGTGCGACTTTTGCAGCAAGCCCTACACCAACTACATGTCCCTGCGCAATCACATGCGGATCCACGGTCAGAAGCGCTACATGTGTGACCTGTGTGGGAAGGCCTTCCGCCTGGCCCGGTACCCTCCGCAACCACCAGAGGATCCACGACGACGGGCCCAACCGCTTCGACTGCCCCTCCTGCTGCAAGAGCTTCAGGACCATGCTGGAGCTGGCCCAGCACCGCTGCACTGCCGCCGCCAACACCAGCCAGGTGGGTGGGGCTCTGGGACAGAGTGGGGGGGCCTGGGACGGTGTGTGTCCAGCTGCATTGGAAATACAAAAATGTGTGATGGCAGCCACATGAAAGCTTACATATTGTCTATTTGAATGGTGAGATTTGCATGCGTGTGGTTTTGTTACATAAACACTTCCTAAATGTGATTGTTATTAGGCCTGCCCAGTAAATCGAAATGTAATCAAAGTTGCAACATGGGTTAGTGCAATATTAAAACACAGTCGGTCCAATATTTGTTACAGGCAAAATATGCGTTATTTGGAATTACTAGTATTGTGGTGCTGCAGAAATGTCCCGACCTACAAATGGCATTCTGTGACTAATTAGACTCTCTTTGTTTGGTACAGATCCCCTTAAAGAAATCACACCATATCATGCTAATGTCTTTTTCAAGAATAGGAAGATTTATGACGCAAAATGATCTATTCCTCCAAAGTTGTGAATCATATCACAACTGCAAAATCAGTCAGAATATGTGCCAAAAGTAATTTTTTGCACAATGTGGAACCCCAATCCCTACTATCAGAGTGGACGAGGATGGGGTGGCTCCTGGTTCTATTGCTCTCTCAATCTTTTAAAAGTGGAATACAAGGTTTTAAAACTCAAATTTCATTAGCACATTAAATCTATTACCAATTTTTGGAGAGTTGGCATCTTTTGTATAGAAACAATTCTTCACAAATGTCACAACGTTGATTGAAAGTGTATCTGACACAGCTATAGCTCCAAAATCTTGAGGTATAGACAGTTTAATTAGTTTAAATGATGGATCTTATTTACATGAAAGTGAAATGGTTGAACGCAGCCACCTGAAATGCCCACCACATTTGAATCTCAGTTTTCCTCTCCTTAATAAAGCTCTGAGGGTTTCAAAGAGGCGTATAATGACCATTGGATGTCTCACTTGGTCTAGTCTATTCTGCTGCAGCCCTCTCCAGCACTATCTAACTATGTCTTTCTCTGAGTATTTCTCCAAATGATCACAGTATTTATTTATTCTTCCATGATTGGACATTTATTTACATTTATACGTTTTGGCCCCACAAAAACACCTGATCCGTGGCGGCCCTCAGGAGTCTTATGTTGCAAAATGTAAACCATTTAATTGTGCAAACTTTGCTTACCACATAACAACTAACAACAAAAGCACCGTTTGAAAATCGAAACAAATCCCCCCTCCCCTGAAACTGCAGTGTGCACATTTAAATACTTATTTTATGATTGAACAGGAGACTCCGTTCTCTGCCGCTCGAGCACCCTTCGCCACTTTCCCAAAGGTATTGCGGTATATGAAAAATGAAAATCATACGGTATAAAATTCTTGGTATGAAACGGTATACCGCCCAGCTCTACTTTGCTTTTGGTTATCTATTTATGCTACTTGCTATTTGTTTGACACTCGATTTGTTTTTCACCATGAACACCAACCAGAGAAGTGTTGCTGTCAAACTCTGTATAAACGAGCTTCACTGCTCAGTCTGACAGCACTCACAGCAACAATCACCGGCAGTGTCCTCCAGTCCTGCCGGTGAGTTTAACATTTCCTAGTGGATTGGACATTATATATGTTACTCTGCCAGGCGTGTTACTCTTCTTTTTTTTATTACTCTCTGTCTGATCATCAGCTTACTCCTTTTTCCAACCCCCCTGTAGTGAAAGTGTGTGTGGAGTCAGGGTTAGACCAGGGTTAGGCTGAGTTTAGGGAAAGAGTCAGGGTTTAGAGGTTAGGGCAGGCACACATTTCAGTGGATTTTTCCTCTCGGGAATAATACTCCAAATGTGTCTGTGCGTGTGTGTCTGTGCGTGTGTGTGTGTGGGGTTATAAGAACCGGTTCAACTGCCCGTCCTGCTTTAAGAGCTACAGAACCATGCTGGACCTGGCCCAGCACCGCTGCAGCGCCGCGGCCAAAAACCAGGTTGGTGTGAGCATCAGTGGGCATGTGTGTGTATGAGTGTGTGTGTGTTGTGTGTATGTTTTTAAGGTAGCGTCAGCAGGTGGAACTGTAGCTGTGAGAAAGGGCAAACCTATACACAAGTTTTAGATGTGATGGTCAGGAACTAAACCAAGTTAGACCCCTGAAATAAGGTCTGTGGTCAGAGCTGAAGAGCGCTTCAATTTGTAAAGATTTCCAAAAAACGGAGCTGGCTAACAAGTGTCTAAATGAGACTACTAAAAGTCATCATGCCAAACATTAGCCGCCTATAGCTTAGCGGTGGTGATGCGCATCAATGTGACTAGTGAAATTTGATTATTGCATTATGTTAGCTTTTTACTTCTGGCAATTGCATTTACACTTAAAAAAAATCCTAAAGTAGTGTTAATATGTGGAGATGAATCTGCTGAACAAAACAAATAAATAACATGGCAACAGATCTTCTTTTCTTTGCAATATTTCAAAATCAAAGGAACCCATGCAATTCTCAGTTCTGGGTCGGGCTACAAATATATGCACCACTTTATTGATGGGTGTCAGAGCAGGTCTGATTATATGATATCTGTTGGTTTGACCATCCAGTTTATCAAAATGAGTGGTTTTGAAAATTGAAAGTGAAAATCACTCAAATGAATAGGCATCACAGCCATCATAAAAAAATAAGACTCGTGCTCGTGTGACATTGAAATCTCATATCAGTGGAAATGATCATTTTTCCTATCTATACTGGCTGGGAGCAAATCCCTACACACCTCCAATGTGGAGCTGGAGAACAAGATCAACAGTCAAATACATCACGAAGAGAAGATGAGGTGCCAGTCTGTTCTCGGACCAAATGTCTGTTTAATGTACTGAACATGTGTTGAATAGTCCATTGTACTTTAAAAAAAGAAGAACTTCCTAACTCAAAATGTGTGTGTAAAATGGTGTTGGGAACTTGTTTTCTATCCATTTGGTGTTCTACTGTACACATTGGGAAACTGGATTAGTTTCAGTTCACTTGTAATATCACTTTGGCTTGACAGGAAACTGTAAACATTCTGATTCTGAAAAAAAACTGAATTTATCTCTCAAGATTAACGTTAAAGTTTAAAGGACTAGTGTAGCTTTAAATGGTCAGTGGCATGATTAGGCTTTAACACCAATGTAAAGGTGTCGGGCGAGAGGACAAGCTGATAAGGCAAGCTACTTTTATAGTTGTCACGGTTACAGAAGATCGATTGGATTCTTGGTAGCAAAGGAGTTGATGGCCTGAATCATTTCTAGCTTTGTGTGAGTGTTTCTGTTTGTGTGTACTCCATCCCTCACATTCCAGGTTGACTAAAGGTTAGTGGATGGTCAGGAGTCTGTAAACATGAGCTGTAGGGCTTTGCACTGATTGGCTCAAGGACCTGACTCATCACATTCATTCGTCACCGGTCCTCTGCTCTATATCTTCTGTGTGCATTACTAAAGACATATGATTTACCAAATGTCTCTCTTCCCCCCCCCCCCCTCCAGTCCGGAGCTACAGGTGGAGGTGGGGCTGCTGGTGTTGGTCGTCGTGCCAACTACTCCAACCGCCGTCAGCAGCAGCAGCTGCAGCAGCAACAGCAGCAACAGCAGCAGCAGCAGCAGAACAGCGCTAACCCCATGATGCAGCCTCAGCACGGGGGACACGGCCAGCAGGAACCTCTGCCCCCCCACTGCGTCTCCCCCATGTCCCAGGGAGGCGTGGGCAGCCAACCGGACCCCCACCAGGTATGGAGGAGAGGAAACCTTAACTCTAGGGCTGGGTACTGCCCTCCCATACCACAGGGTTTACCACTCAATATATAGTGATTCTACAGGTTGGCGCTCAGACAGCTAAAACCCGGTTCCAGCCTTTCTGTTTGCTGCACTAGTTACACTAAATGCAATGAATACTTTTTTTCTGGTTAAGTCCTCTTGTATCTGACCATGTGATTCTTCCGATGTAGGGTCTGGCCGTTTTGTGTCGGAAATAGCACTGCAGTATTTTATTGTCCAGTAAAACATTCAATATTTATATTTTCTCTAAATATAGTGGTGCAGTTATGACGAATTTTAGCGGGCACATCTGGAAGGGCTCCCTCGACAAAAACCCAATAGGCGCTTTCACACCAAGTACTTTTCCCCAGTGCATTTCCACTACAGCGCGGTTTAAGCGTACCGTTTTTGGTTGCGTTTCCACTAGGCGTAGTTCCGGCTAGCGGGTACTTTTTCACAGTTTTTCTGGCTCTCCAAAATCGAGGTTCTTTCCGGGCCAACAACCGGGCTGAGTATGCTAAACTAGTGAGAGAATCGCTGGCAACTACAACAATATGTTTTAATTGTAATACACGTTTCAAAATGATGCCGAAGTAACAACATACTGATACCGGTTAGTAAAAACCATGAATTAATGCTTTGACAAGTCTGCAGACAGACGGCACGCGAAAAACCTTTTTAAATGTGTGTTTACTGAATGGAGATTGGCTAAGCTAACGCAGTGTATGCTCCGACCGTCCACACTCACAACAACGGCCTATACAGACATAAATAAACCAGCGACACAGACATTCGCCATGACACAGGCAGTCTGTGGTTTGTACTTTAACTTTCGTCTAGTTTCTGAACAGATATGAAGAGCTGTGAGCTCTGAGTGCTAAGAGCTGATGTTGGTTTTGTGTTTCACATTGAAGATGACGTCACGGCTCCGCCTACACTGCGTTACTATAGATACTACCCATAGACTGTATATATAAATGGACGTAGTGTCCGTGACGTCACCCATAGGATTCTGCAGAGTTGCCGTGAAGCCCTTAGTAGGCGGAGTCGGCCACTAACGGCTCGACAGTGACGCCAGAGTCTAACTCCCGCCTGCTCCAAATAAGGGCAAAGAGGCGGAGCCGAGGCGGGACATGCTGCCTCCGAACTGGAAGTAAACAGAGCTAGCTCAGGCTAAGAAGCTAAGCGAACATGAAATACATGCATACCAAGTTACTGCTAACAGTGTAGTTCCCCTATATAAACGTTACATTCATAATCAAATGAGACAATCTGCAAGAGAATTAGCTATATTTTGTTATTCTTAATGCTTGTCATTCACACGTTGAGAAAAGACGGACTCCACCGCCCGGACCTAACGGAGCCGCACGTGGGCTAGCTCCGGGACGCCGGCTGGAGCTAGCCCCCTGCGGCTCCGTTAGCTCCGGCGGCCACCACTGGGATAATTGGGTCCCCTATTAACATTTGCTCCCGTTTAGCATTATGGGCGTCATAGCCATAGACTATAAAAGTCTTACCCAAGGCTGAATCATAAACTAAAATGTTTATGTATGCATAAAGGGTTACGTCCTTAGCTGGCTAATAAGTAACAAGCTAAGCTACCAAGCACACAAACACCTGCGAACGGGGTTGGTTAACATGTATAACATTATTATTTTAGGACTTCTTGGAAGTTCTGTTAGTACATTCAAGCGCACAGCACGACATTTTAATTGTCTGGTATTTGTAACAATATTCCCTAAAAGGCACAATCACCACGAACACGGCTAAAGCTAAAGGGTCAAGTACAGTAGGCTACTATGACAACTAACGTTGTTGTAGCCTCTATGGTTGTAGCCTAGCAGCAGTGGACAAGTTGCTGTTAGCTGACAG